CCCCAAAACCCCAAAACCCCAAAACCCCTATTTCTAAAAACCACATTGAATGTTCTATTACATAAAACTCCCCAACTCTTACAACCACCCATAAACTTTAATCCCCTCCCTTCCTAAAACTCAAGTAACTATTTTCCCCAATTTTTAATTAGCAGAAAACCCTTCAGAGTCAGATGCTAGCGAGAATTTAGGAAAAACTAATCTAATAGTAGAGAAGCCATAAGGCAAATAGGAAAAATCATTAAATTTTTGGATGTACTAGTGGATATGAGTGAAGAGGGACAAATGAAGAAATAACTGTGCCATTTGGACATAAACATTGTAAGAGGAAATTAGAAAAATAGCCAAGTCTTCGGAGAAATTAGTAATATTGAATTTTGTGTGAAGAATTTGATTAGAACCATAGGTTAGTTTATCTCTTTTTAATATTTTTCATAAGTGATTTCGACTTGCTTCAAATTGATAGTATCTCTAAAATCTTCAGCTTCTTATCTGTTTTATGATTCTGCTTGTAGGAGTATCTATTTTGCCCTCTTTGGATAAAATGAGGTGACCTTGGAGATCTCGGTGATGTTAAAAGGAAAGCAGCTGATCTTGGTTCAGGAGATTTGTGAATAAAAGGTTGAAGAGGAAGTGTGAGAGCCTTCTGATGATCTATCAGAGTTAGAATGAAGAATTTACTTTGGAAATCGATCATTTTGAGTTTTCTTATGGTTTTTAACTTTGAAATTAGTATCTTTTTGGCAACGAGGGGACCCCCTTTCATATCTAAGACCTTGCCATCTCATCTCTTGTAAACTTTATACTGTAGTAGAGTTGCTCTCTTTCATGCTAGAAAATGTTAACAGAACTCAAAAATAGAGGCATAGAAAATAAAGACTCTCTTAGAATAGGTTAACGTAATAAATGCTAAAGAGCAATGACACTAAAGCATTAGTAATTAATTTAAAAACTGCCCATAAATTATAAAATAGATTTATCAAATTAATGAATCAATAATTTTAATAAGTTTTCATAGAATTTTTACATCTTAGTAAGACTAAGACTATTGAAAGAATCATGACTAATTCTTTCATCGAGGCTATCTTACGTAATTAAAGGTGTAAAACAATATTTTTGTTGATCTCCATTGATCGACTGTGATAAACAGTAAACTTCAGAATAACTAAAAAATTCGAAAACAATATTAATAGAATTGAACGGAAGCAAATATGGAACATTCACTAATAAATATTATTCTTGCTGTTAGTGTTCATCAATTTGTTTTACATCATAAATAGGAGACTTAGCTATACATGAAATTCTCAGCTCTCTACATATTAAAAGCCTATGAAATTGGCTTACTTTTAATATAAGTAGGGTTAGAAGCTTAATTTATTCATGAATCCAAACTTTTCTGTGTAAGAATAACATCTAAGAAAGAAAAACTGGGAAAATATTTGTTTGATATAAGTTCTTGTGCGGCTTTATTTGATTCCAATATTTAAGTAATAGTGTTATTTGAGTAATAATAGAATTGATGATAAAAAAAATTTATTCCATAGTTGTTATTTCTGATGGTCACCTTGTAGTCACCAAAAAAAATTATGTTTTATTTAAATTTGGCAAAATAATAATTTTCTAAAGTGAAACCAAGTGGTTGCTCTGAGTGTAGTCGATGTTTTTATAGTTTTTAAACAAATTTTAGTAAACACTTTTTATAAATTTTGATTCCTTATTTCTGTGATTGCCATCTAAAGTGAAATATTTTTTCGTTAATATAATGATTCTGCTAAATAGGCTTTCAAGCCAAAAAAATCTCGGCAAAATTTGAGCTTCGGAGAGAGTTTTTCATTAATTTTCAGATACTTTGATGCTCTTCAAATTTTATGATAAAAAATTTACCTCAATTTATTGATGTTGAGCAATATTCACATTGTTCTAATAAAGGCAATGATTTAACCTCCTCTCTTGCATCAGGACTAAAGTATCTGATTCTTGCTTTCTTTATAAATGAGCTTTCATTTAAATGAGGAAGTTTGGATTTAACTTCTCTCTGGCTCCCATTAAGCTTATGAAACTGTTTTGACGCATTCATTTTAGTTTTACGACTCATATTTAATTGTAATCAGCAAACTCAATTTTATATACTCTTTCAGGGGTTTTGGGGTTTTGGGGTTTTGGGGTTTTGGG